CTCCCCCCCCCCCCCCCACCGGAAAAAGTGAATTTCCGCCACTGTGTCAGACCCTGTCTTTCCTTCCCCCACCTTCCTCTTTGAGAAAGGGAATATATGACCAGATCCTCAGGCTACTTGATGATCGAATAAAATCATATGTGGCATTAGACAGAGTAAAATGTAATTCAAGAATTTTGTGGCATCTCATTCGAATGAATAATATTTTATGGTTATTCTAGATGGAAATTGTCGAATGGAAATTTTATATACATTTACTAGACCTAACCAGGAACAGAAGCGAAAAATGCAACTTTAGGTCCTTGGCAGGAATTGAACCTGCAGCCTGCGATTTAGGGTTCATTTCCTGTGTTTAGCTTCTCAGTGTTCCTGCATGGTTAGGTCTAGTGAATGTATATAAATTCCACTCAACAATTTCCACCTACAATACCCATCAAATATTATTCATTCAAGTGAGATGCCACAAAAATCTTGATATTTACACATAACCTATACATGGCAGTACCCTAGTATATACATGAACTTGTGGTTGGAGCTCGACAACTGGCCTCTGTAGCTCAGTTGGTTAGAGCGCTGCACCGGAATTGCAGGGCCGCTGGTGAAATTCCTGCCAGGGACCTAAAGTTGCATTTTCACTCCTGTTCCTGGGTATGAGCAAATGTTTATATATTTCCACTCAACAATTTCCATCTACAATACCCATCAGATAAAATGTAATTCCTATGTAATTCGAACCCTATGCTATATATTATACTAACTAGAAATACATGCATGCAACAATCCCTTGCCTTTCTTAACAAATGAAGTATGTAAATTCCACATGAAGTATTTGATGATTAAAAACAATAGTGGTTGCCATGGTAAAGTGAATTTAACACCTTGTCCACCCGTTTGGTTGGTTAGGTGTTAGCTCAGCTGACCGAGAGGGGTGACCTGGACTGACTACTGTTACTTGGACTCAGATTAAGATCCATGACAATAGCATCTTGAGATGCCATCCCCCACCGAACTAACACCTTCACACCAATTAAAATTGGTGGAAATAAATTGTTGAACTAAGCGTGCAAAAAAATTCAAAACATACGTTGTTGTCGTTTGGACGTCAGACTTGGAATGATAAATGTCACCTACTCCCATTGCGCCATCCCCCCGGTCATGTGACGTGCTGACGTCAGGATACCTGGTTCCCAAGTTGCTAACCTTGGTTATTGCATAACCTCATATAATATGATGGAACAATATTATTAAGACGAGATGGAATAATTGATTTTGAAAATCTAGAATGTAGTTTTATGTTATTTGGCTTTCAATAGGCTTCAATTTAATGTAAAATAAAACGGTGACACGTTTCGAAACTTTGCCAAGCTGAGGAAACTGAAAAACTTGTTTTGCTGACAAATAGTTTGCTCTAAAATATATGCTAAAATAAATTTGCTTTATTATAGGCACAAACTTTTACTTGATTTGGGTCAAGCCACATTTGCTTTAGGTAAAAGAACCATCATGAACATACATAAAAATCAATTGCCCCAAGTGAACAATAACAATCACTGCAATTTCATGTAAATATACCAGCTTGCATAAAAACATAATATTGATCTCAGAATGGCTTAACCCTCGCCTTGGGCTTACACCCAGAACGGCTCCGGGACTATACTATCTATCCTGTCATTTTTCAATTGAAAGTCTGAATTCTCATTTAGTCATTTTATAGTGAATTAATTTTATATTCAAGTTTTGTATGAACTATGAAAGTGAAATAATTATAGTTTTGACTGTACGCCAATATACCAATATAAACTAGGTTACCCACAGGGCAGTAATGCTGCCTTTGACAGCAAAAGACAAACTACAGGGTGTTGAACGAGTCCTTCAGAAACATCCTATTATTGTTATCCTTGTTAACCCATTTATTGACAGTACCCTACCACTGACTGAGTATTAAAAATCGTCTGGCGTTGGACAGGGTAAATACTAAAGTAGGGGCCATTACTGTGTTGATGAATTAACAAGAGCCATTGGCAGATAGGTTTGTTAACCATGCATTTACTGGCAGTACCCTATACCACTGACGAGTAAAATCGTCTGGCGTTGGACAAGGGAAGGGCGCATTGCCAGCTAATGGGTTAAACCACCGTGGTTAAACATAAGATTTCATGATGCTCCAGGAAATGTAAACAAGCTATCAGTGTGACATCCCAGTTTATATATTTATATACTCGGAATATTGATTTATCGGTATAAAATTATATATATCGGTATATAATTATATATATTATATTTATCGATACAAAATTATTTTAAAGTATAACAACCAGCGAAGACGTAAGCCACTAACTACCCTGCGCGGCTGCGCGCAGACTATATAATGACATATATACGTCATCCGTCCGGTCCGTCCGTCGCCATCCGTCCGTCCGTCATTCATCCGTTCGTCCGTATCCGCGTTTTATCCTAACCCGTTTTTAAAACACAAAGTTTGCATAATTAAGGCAGTGCGGTTCGTCATGATCAACATTTTCCAAAGCGGCCAATTAGACCAGGGGTTAAAGGGCAATGACAATGACATGCAGGTGACATTTAACATTGCGTCTCACTAATTAAAATTTGCGTGTTTAATAATGTTTATCAAAGAAAGCAAAAATGTATACAAGACAATCTCACACGTGGAATTTTTTCACGTGTACTGCCTTGTGATGCAGTACAAGTATAAATACAAATGACAAAGCATTTGTAAATTCTAAAACATAATTAAAAAATCATACGGCACATTTAAGATTTTAATATCGTATTTCAGCCGCGTTTATACTGTTTGGCGCATTCGCTGCGTTATATTAATTTATATACACAGAAAAGCATGTCATTGTCCATGCAGACCATAGGCAAAAAGCATTTGTCAACCACATACCAAATTTAAGCAATCGTTAAATCATATACATGTCATGGAAAGAATATGGAAATGATGTTGAATGAATGAAAGCTAGCATCGCGTATAATATTAAAAGCACCGCATATAGTGCTCGAACCACTGCGTATAATTGCAAAAGCATCGCGTATATAAATGGTAAAAGCACCGCGTATAATACTGGAACCACCGCGTATAATGGCGAAAGCACCTTGTATAATGCCGAAAGCACGGCCGTATAATGCTAAAAGCACCCAATGCCGTTTGATCACTTTAAGCCAGCTATGGCTTTCCATAAAAGAAGACCAAAGATGAAACATGATCACATTGGCTGTTTGCGTTATCCCTGACCGCGCTGCACCACGGTTAAAATTCACTGGTACCGTCATGCAATGCGCCAAATAGAAAATTTTGATTTCGACCCACAAAACAAAATTAGGATCTGCTGCCTTGCTCGCTCGCTTCAGGCTCGCTCGCTGCGGCAGCAAAAAATAAGCTGATAAGACTTCATTGGATTTAGTGTCAAGCCCGAAATGTACTTTTTTCCGACCTAAATGCGAAAAATCGAGTATTTCTTTGACTATATAAAAGTATCGAAAAATCAGAGCCAAATGTTTACTTTTAAAAGCTCAGCATATATATTCAGCTATATTTCGAAAACCATACGTTATAGAATGCGAATACTGGAACTAAGAACTTATCCTCACACATAAAAATGTTAAAAATACCTTAAACGGCATAAGTTTATATATTTCTATAGACTCATTTCAATCATATAATTATTTTTTATAAATGCTACCATTGTTGTTGGCAAGTACAATTGTTGTTAGCGTAACGATCCTTAAATGTAGTCGCTGTCATACCAATGTAGTGTTTAGTGTCGTTCGTGTTGTTCGTTGTGACTGTGGCTTTGTAAATAATGTTGTTGGTCAAACATTGTTTCGGTAGTGGGCAAGTGTTTTTGTTGTCGCAGTGTTTTTGTTGCAGCGACTACATTTAAGGAACGTTACGCAAACCTCACTTCATCTATTCGTCATAAAAAAGATTCAAACAAAACGGAACTTTCGAAACATATTTGGAAATTAAAAGAAAGCAATCAGGATTATACCATCAATTGAAATGGTCAATTTAAAACACGCTATTTCGTACACAGGGGATCAATACGCTGCAATTTATGTTTGGAAGAAAACTTTTGCATTTTGAAAGACATAAACAAAGACAATTTACTCAATAAAAAAGCGAAATTTTTGGCAAGTGTCGTCACAAAAACCGGTTTCGAGTAAACAATGTCGTTCGTTGTTTCACCTATAAACATTGTTTCACCTATAAGCACTGTTTCGCCTAAGCATTAATTGTTTCGTCTAAGCATTGTTTCGCCTACTACGCATTCTTTCGATAGCATATATATATATATATATATATATATATATATATATATATATATATATATATATATATATATATATATATATATATATATATATTATACCTCAAATTCAAATTGTCCAATGAAAAAACAGCATTTGTACCACGTGATAATGTGATTTTTTACGGTATTTCACTCAAATTCATGATTTTGCAATCCAGCGTGGGATACTATAATATCCCACGGCAGATCCACCGTGGGATATTATAGTATCCCATGCTCACGCGTGACGCGTGGACACCACGCTCTGAAACAATATGGCGTTCGCGAGCTGTTGTTTGTAATTTCGTATTTTCGTACAGAAGATTTGATTTAACAAAACATTTTCAAGACGTATGTTACCTTTAATGATCCAAAGGATACATGCTTAAATATTTTAAAGAGAAAACGTCAAAAACTCCGGTATACATAAGAAATTAAAAATTGTATTGGCGTAGTTAATATTCAGCAAGTTTTAAAGTTTATTCTAAACTTAGTGAGTTCTTTAACTTTCGGTATAATATATCATTTATAGACCCTCCGCTCGGGGGATTCGGCGCTATTTCCCTCAGCAAAGCACCTCGGAAAATATCATCACTTCGGGAAATATTACGCCGAATCCCCCTCGCTCCGGGTCTATAAATGATAAATACAGCATTGTTAATTCTCATAGCAACATATGATTTCTGCATGCAGAGATGTTCAAAGTTGTTTTTTCCAGATATCATTCCATTGCTAGTATGTTGTATTACACGTTTTCGTCTTCGTTTGATTTGTGTGGTTCTTCTTCGTTTGATTTGTGTGGTTCTTCTTCGTTTGATTTGTGTGGTTCTTCTTCGTTTGATTTGTGTGGTTCTTCCTCGTTTGATTTATGTGGTTCTTCTTCGTTTGATTTGTGTGGTACTTCTTCGTTTGATTTGTGTGGTTCTTCTTCGTTTGATTTGTGTGGTTCTTCTTCGTTTGATTTGTGTGGTTCTTCTTCGTTTGATTTGTGTGGTTCTTCTTCGTTTGATTTGTGTGGTTCTTCTTCGTTTGATTTGTGTGGTTCTTCTTCGTTTGATTTGTGTGATTCTTCTTCGTCTGATTTGAGTGGTTCTTCTTCGTCTGATTTGTGTGGTTCTTCTGTCGGTTTGAGGTGCTTGTTATATACTATGTGAAAAATGGTACCTAGGACCACGCCTATTATAACCAACGACAGCACAATTGGTCTCAGTACACTCATATGTTTCACATCAGGTGTTGGTATTGTCACCGCCAAGATTGCGAGCAAAACGTTCTCTACGGATAATAAACTGTACAACACAAAATGGCCAGTGCGTGGATTTGAAAAGTTTTTTGTTAACATATCTGCCACGTGTAACAAGAACGGAAAGCTGGCAATGATGTATACAAAAAACAGTACTACTACAGCGCACTTGCTTTCATCACACCTGCATCCATCATAGTCCTCGTCCTTCAACCATACGACAACATGCACAATCAGCCAATGAACCGCCAGTGCTGTGAACACATGTTCCTTAAAGACGTATGCGAATGCTGCAATTGCAAAAAGTCTGGATAGCAAACTAAACAATTGAGAAGTGAAAAATACAACCGTGGCTGGCAGTGTGAAATTATGGCTATTTTTATTTACTCTCGCTTTCTCAAGAGCGGTAATACTCCATGCTAAAGAAAGCAAGGAAATCACGGCTGAGAGCACGGTTAACCATGGAAAATCCCACTGACGTAACATGATGTAAATCTGTAGACACCATTGTGGAGTAGACTCTGTAAGTGTCTCTACATAACGTGTCCACGCGAGCTTGTATGCTGACTTGTTAGACTCCGTTAACTTCACGCGGTACTGTTCGCAATTTGGACAATTGCATTTCTTATAGTTGTCTCCACAAGGGGTATTATCCCGATATGTTTGCTTCCAATATTTGTACTCTTCAATATAACGCACAAATATGGACGAGCATACAAACCATAAACATAAGCTTACATAAAAACCATTATTTGAGTTAACGGAAGCCATAAAACTGATGATGAAAAGAGGAACGATAATAAAAAATAACGTCAAACCAAACCACCAATATTCGCCTTTAAGCCCATACCGTGCAGCTACAACGGTGTCTGTGACCAGGTCAAATATGAACAACCCGACGCCTGTGATCAGCATGAATAATTCCTTCTTTCCTCTCATGTTAACCTGTCGAATGAAAAAAAATGATCTTATTATTGGGTCTTTTCATAGGCTAGCAGATGGCGACCAACAACTCAACTTTAGAAGTTAAGATTAGAAATCTAGTCTAGCAGATGATGCTCATTTTCAGAAATATTGACATTCATAAATATATATCTCAATTCTGCTTAGAATACAGTTGATGCTGAGTGAAAAATACTTAACAGATCTACATTTCGAAAAAAATTTAGATTAGTGTCAAGTAACTGTGATTTGATTAGTGTTAGATTAAGATTAGGGTTAGAGGTTAGACAGGGCCGTAGCTAAGCATGCATAGTTGGGGGGGGGGGGCAAAAATTT